GTGTTGTTGCTGGTGGATTCAATTTTGTGCGGCTATACAGCGATGGTGATTCTCATTTTTTTTTCTTTTTTTTTTCCGTTTTGGTAGCAGTTTTCTGGAAAAAATAATATAAAGCAGATTAAACGGGATTAGGCGCCTTGTTATTAGGGATTGTGATTAAAAATAGGTTAATTATTAAGGAGCGTGTTAACCGTGTAAGCTAAGGAAGCTATCATCCCAACGGTAAAAAAAATCAAAGAAAAGATTTGTTGTATAGCTTCCAACGGTACAAATTCAATATTCAACATGTAATTACATTAATTACGATTAACTCAATTATGGTAACAAAGTACAAACCGACACATCAAATACAAAGCATCAATTATAAATCGCAAAATACGCTCTGCTTAATTAATTCCAAATCCTTCTCTTCTCTCTCAAACAAAGTTATGGCATTCAGAGGTTTTCAGAGGTCCGTCGGCACTCAGTTCGGCGCTGCTTTTCCGGTCGCCGGAGATCATATTCTTCTTCCTTATAATTCCTACGGCCGCCGCGTCCCTCAGCAACACCATCACTATCTCTATCAACAGAGGCTTTGGGCAGTCGGCACTCATCCACCGCCGCCGCCGCCGCCGCAGTGGGGTGGTGGTGGTGGTGGTGGACCTGCTTTACCGATGGCCGGAGAAAATAGCAGAACCCAGCAGTTTCTTCCTTATTATAATTACCACACCGCTCCTCCACAAAACTACTACGACGTTTATCAAGATTTGTCGAATCATCGTCCTCCACAACAATTTGATTATGTTCAAGAAGATGAAACCCTGATTTTGAATGGGGGTTCTGTTCATCCACGTCAGCAACAACACCAACAACATGCGAGTGGTAGTGCTGCAGGAGCAGGTTTGTCCGAATCCCAGATCAAAAAGTGTCTGAAGATAAAGATTATTAATAATTCTTGCCCTAATTACATTGATAATCGAGCCGCCACCGCGGGTGAAGATCAAGAAGAAGAAGAAAGCGAAGTTTGTGCGATATGTTTGGATAATTTGTACAGCCCAGATCAAAGTAGTAATAATAATAATCATCGGAATAATATTAATAATGTTAGTGTCGGAAGTCTGGGATGCAAACATGTGTACCATTCGGTATGCATCACAAGGTGGCTCGGCATCAAAAATTTTTGCCCGTTGTGTAAAGTTGTCGCATATTCTTCGTGAAGATGACGATGACTCAATTCAATTAGAATTAGTTTTTTATAGTTTTTTATTTCGTGATTATAGCTAGTGTTTCTACTGCTGTACATGTTTATGTAATAATTAGTTTGCTTAATATTGAATTATATTTCACAAGAATGCCAGAAAGAAAATTATTTGTTCTATATTAACATCAGGTTACATTGTTTTTATATATATATATATATGGGTTATGACAAAGATGACAAAGGCACTTAATCACTTAATTGATAAAAGGACATTCAATTTTTTTGTGTTTCAAATATTTCTAGTTTACTCAAATTTATTTGCAAATAAGGAATTTTTTTATATATACCAAAATTACTCTCAATTACTTGAAACACAATTCAACTCCAATTTTATGATTTATACCACAATTTAGTACAATTTCACCAACTAATTAATATTGACCTTAATTTAAATTTTGACCCCAGTTTTGACCCTCCACCACCGGTGACCGCCGGTCAGTCACCAGAGACCGCTCGCTTGTCTACATGTTGACTTATTTATTTATTTATTATTTTTTTTTTTAAATTTCCGGTAGGTCAACTGTTGACCGTCGGGTTTTCGGCGTTGACTTTTTTTATTTTTTTTCTTAAAAAAAATATTTTAATTTATATTACTGTATTGGGTGTTAAATACTGTCTCCAGCAGTTATTTAACTGTTAATTGACTTTTTTTTCTTAAAAAATATTTTAATTAATATTACTGTGTTAGCTGCTAAACTACTGTCTCCAACACTAATTTAATTATTAATTGACTATTTTTTTTTTTGAATTTTGGTTTTTCTTATAAAAAAAAATATTTCAATTAATATTATTATCTTGGCTGCTAAATTACTGTCTCGAACAATAATTTAGCTGTCTAAGACAGTAATTTTAATGTATTAATTAATTTTATCGTCTTGAACAACAAATTTGTTGTCTTCGACTGTAATATTGTTGTCTCCGACCGTAATATTACTATATCATGCAATAATATTACTGTGGACAGTAATACTAGTATTATTACTGTTAGGGAAAATAATATTCATAATATTACTGTCCCAAACAGTAATATTACTGTCTGAGACAGTAATTTAGCAGCCAAGACAGTAATATTTATTAAAATATATTTTTCAAAGAAAAAAAATATTAAAAAAAAAATCAACGCCGGAGGTCAACGCCGAAATGTGGCCGGAAAAAAAATTTCAGAAAAAAAATTATTTTCTGAAAAAATTAAAATTATTAAAATGGGGTTAATGTGATATATTTGTTTAAATCTGGGTTCAATGTGTAATATTGAAAAAGTTAGAGTATAATGGATGTGATTGATAAAAATTATACTATGGAGGGTATTTTAGACTAGAGACATGTGGATGAATTTATTTGAAAGAAATGTGCATGCATTTAAGTCACTTGTCATGTCCCTATTTGCCATTTGTCATATATATATATAAAAGAAAGGAAATAATTAAAAATAAACTGAAGAGAATATATTCTCAAGATATGCCCAAATCCGTTAATAATCCCCCTCAAGTTGGTGCATGAGGATTATGAGCGCCCAATTTACAAAGAAAGAAGTTAGAATTGTGGCTTTTCCAACCGCCTTGGTGAAAATATCGGTCAATTGTTCCTCTATACGAATGTAATGTGTAGAAATAAGGTCATCTTGTAGTGCATCTCGGACCAAATGACAATCAATGGCGAGGGTCAGCGGCGAGATATATATGTCGCCGTTTTTGCGGTTTCAAGGAGTTGGGGGTAATTTCAGTATATATATGAAACAGTTTTTCCTACTAATAAATAAATTTGAATAAGGTTGATATATTTGCAAGACAAAAAAGTAAGATGTCTTTTTTTTAATTAAATCTCATGGGTTTTTCTTCTTGCAAACCACCCTTTTCTTTTTCGTCGATAAGTTCATCATTTCGATACGTATTACAAATAAAGACAAAATCTAATTTTATAATAAAATTACCCCTAAATCTTTAAACCCAATTAATAATTGTATACTCTAATTTAACTCTAAATTTATCAACGTTTGACTTCTAAAATCAAATTTTGATTTTTTTTTCTTTTCTTTGCCACCAGAGACCCTCAATGACTTGGTTTTCTTTTTATTTTGGGAAAATAAAACTTTTCTGAATTTTTGTTTATGTTGTCGTTGAACAGAAGTTAACGCGGCAGTCTCGGGCGTTGACTTTCTTTTTTAAGTGGAAAAAAATGTTTTTTGCCACTGACTGACAGTCAACGTCGTACACAATAATTTTACTGTGGTTGATAGTAGTATTACCGTACTATTAAGTAATCCATCCGTCCCAATTTAAATTACGTTTTGAGTTGGTGCTCACATATCAAGAAATCAACAAATGTGCATAGATTATAGTAAAAAACATAGAAAATCACTAAAATATCATTGACATTAATTGTTTTACATCTAATTAATTAGGAGTGTTAAAGGGTAAAATTGAAAATTATGCAGTTAATGTTTCATTGACAATCTAAACTAACAAATAATTTGGAACAAAAAACTTTCTAAAAAGACGAATAATATGGGATAGAGGAAGTAATATAATTATCAAGCACCACCCTCAAATTATATATCTCATGGCAGATTGCACCATACATCTAATTTTCATGGGATGTTAACCAAAAAAAAAAAAGAAAAATGAATGTTAATTGAAGAAATTCACATGGAGATGGAAAACTCCATGGTTGCAGAAGGAAGAGAGAGGGAAAGTTTGTTAGAGAGAGAGAAGAGAAGAAAACTAATTTTTATTAAAAAATGAATTAATTACCAACGGTAACAAAGAGTTGGTATATATACAAGACTTTACACGTGTAGAATGTAAAAACGCTATTTGCTAAACTAATAATAAAAGTGCTAATATCATATAACACTTTTATCTGTGTTATAGTAAAATTAAGACTGCAAATATAAAATAATCCAACATCCCCCCCTCAAGATGGAACTGGAGAATAGATGTTCTTCAAGGCCATCTTGGACACAATAGGTGAGAGAAAAGAGGAAACGACAGTGCTTTGGTAAAGATATCAGCAATTTGATCCCGACTAGGCACTGGCATAAGTCTGACAATACCATGAGTAACTTGTTTGCGGATAAAATGACAATCGATCTCAATGTGCTTTGTCCGTTCGTGAAAAGTTGGATTGGAGGCAATATGAACGGCAGCTAAATTGTCACAGAAGACCAAGTTAGAATCAACTGAAATTTGAAAATCCTGAAGAAGCTGATTTATCCAAACCAATTCACTTGACAAGGATGCTAAGGCTCGGTATTCAGATTCAGCAGAGGATCTGGATACTGTGGATTGTTTCTTGGCTTTCCAAGAAACCAGAGAATCACCCAAAAAAAACACAAAATCCTGAAGTAGACTTTCTGGTATCTGTACAGCTGCCCCAATCAGCATCAGAGAATGCTTTGACCTTGGTTGAAGGGTCAGAAGAATAGAAAAGTCCTTGTCCAGGAGCAGCTTTGAGGTATCTGAGCAAATGGTGAGCAGCCTGAAGATGAGTGGACCTTGGCTTAGACACAAACTGACTTAACTTGTGAGTGGCAAAGGCAATGTCTGGTCTGGTGATAGTTAAGTAGAGAAATTTTCCAATGAGTCTTCTATAAACTGTAGAATCTGGGAGAAGATCACCATCATCTTGATTAAGAGTTGCCTTAGGATCCATGGGAAGAAGCACTGGTTTAGAACCTAGAAAACCTGTCTCTTCAAGCAACTTTAGTGTGTATTGTCTTTGAGAAACAATAATACCAGACTTGTTTCTAGCAATTTCCAAGCCAAGAAAATATTTCATCTTACCAAGATCTTTAAGTTTAAAAACCAGATGCAGCTGAGCTTTAACAGACTCAATCTCAGCAGAATTAGGACCAGCAATTATCATATCATCAACATATAAAATAAGGGCTAAGAAAGAAGTACCTGACCCTCTAGTGAAGAGAGAATAATCAGATTGAGATTGAGTGAAACCAAGGGCAGTGATAGCATCTGTAAATTTTTGATTCCATTGTCTGGAAGCTTGCTTGAGGCCATACAAAGATTTTTGTAGCCTACACACTAGTTTAGTGCCAGAAGTGTGAGTAAGTTCTGAGACATAGCCTTGAGGCAGGTCCATATAAACCTCCTCCAGTAAATCTCCATTAAGAAAAGCATTGTTCACATCCAACTGATGGAGTTCCCACTGAAATTTTGCAGCTAAAGCTAAAAGAATCTTGACAGAAACAAGTTTAGCAACAGGGGAAAAGGTTTCAGTGTAATCAACCCCTTCTTGTTGGGTAAAACCCCTTGCTACTAGCCTAGCTTTATACCTATCAATGGTGCCATCTTGCTTTCTTTTCAACTTGTATACCCATTTACAGCTAATGGAATGCTTATCAGAGGGCAAAGAAACCACTTGCCAGGTATTATTTGCCTCAAGAGCCTGAAGCTCCTCAGACATAGCCTGAATCCAAGAAGGATTTTGAATGGCTTGCTTGTAGGAAGAAGGTTCTGTTTCAGCAGAAATATTTGCAGTATAGGCAAAGAAAGAATCAGAAAGACTGGAATAATCAAGCACATTAGAAATGGGGTGTTTGGAAGTAGAAGGAAGCTTGGAATTAATTTGAAAATCAGAAAGATAGGCAGGCAATTTTGTATGCCTGGAAGATTTCCTAACAAGAGGAGGAGAAGAACTAGGCACTGGAAGAGAAGAAGAGTCATTTGCTGGAGGGAATGATTCATAAGACATAGAAGTAGAAGATTGATCAAAAGAAGGCAACACAACATCACTGTGATCTAAATGAAACTGAGCTGAGGCAAAAGGAAAAATATTTTCATGAAAAATAACATCTCTGGAAATAAAAATTTCTTGAGACTGCACATCTAACAATTTATAACCTTTAATACCTGAGGGATAACCAAGAAAAACACAGAGCCTTGCTCTGGGATCAAACTTAGTCCTACCAGCAGCTAAAGTCCCTGCAACAGCTAAACAGCC